GGAAGGCATCTGAAAACCACAGTCACTGTGTCAAAACTAAAGTCGGGGCTAACGCTACGACTCCGGCACTACGACCACTGTAACATTGTCAGCTGACGGCATTGCGGGGAAATTACGGGTATTTACCGCTGCCGATATCTTACTTTTCTGTGACAAAATGCACTCGTTTCGAACCCCCGGTTAATTAAAAATAAACGATTATTTTAGAAAATACATCGAAGCACAGTGCCTTGAGGGACTGTGGGCGAAGTAGGCAGCGAGGTGTTGTTTTAAATTCCGCAGAAAATCATGCACTCAACGCAGCCATCTTGGTTACCTTAATCAGAATTTCCCCTTGTCACCCAGCCCGCATCGATTGCTATATCGCAACGTGCACTGTGTCGCCTTGGGCGACGGTCTTAGGTACAAGGCACTCTATGAATAAGGTATTTTCAGAGGTCAGGGTTCGTTTTTTAATAAGCAGTCTCGTCTGCAGATTTTCTGTTTTGATACTTCGTGTCACTGGAAATTGAATAAGAAAAACTGCAAATAACCGATGTGCAGCAAATCGAAATAAATTTTCATGGCGTACGCTGCATTTGTTTTTCCGGATTTTGCGATGCTGCACTCCTGAAAGAACTGTTTGAAAATTGAACGCGTAACAGTAGTAAAGGCTTGAAACATGCTTGAACACAGTAGCGTAAGTCTCAAGTGCAACTTTGTATCAACAAATGTTTGTCTTTTGATACTTATTAGCTGTCAGAGACACATATCAATTGTCCAGCCCAATGAAAAGTCTGATTCACGTCCTCAATTTGTGACTCGAGCGTAACAGTTTATCAAAACAAAACAATTTATTCAGCATGCTGTTCACTGATATATAAAAGAGTGTTTTTTTAGGCAAGGCACACGGTAAAATGACTACTGTACACCAATAAATCGACACATTTTAGAGACAACTATCTAGTCTTCCAAAAGCAATGTAAACTCTGTCAATCCTCAAAATAAACAACAGCTTGAATGAGGTGTGAATGAGATCGGTTCGAACTGCAGTTTTTATGCAAACTCGTGCGGTCGTCCTGAACTGCACTGTCTATTGTTTAAACTTCCAAACCGCAAAACTGGGTTTTGTTCGGGCGGTTTAGGGCGGTTAGGGTTTTCGTAGGTTTGACCCGCATGTTTGAATATGAGATCACCCCTTAGGCCCTTTGTCTGAAATGATTGAACAAATGTTTCTGAATCAGTAAGATTACACTTTGATCATATTCAATGAAACACTCAGTAATAATATCCTAAATCACATGAATGGTTTGTGTGTGATGAGACTCTTACCAGGATTGACACGATGAGGCAGAGCATGTTGATCATAGTTATACGTC